TGATATGCCTCTAAAAGGAAAGAGAAGATTGCAAGGTTCAGGTGAAAGACAAATGGAAGGAAAGACCTGAAACTGTGTTAAGCCTTGAATCAAAAGTTGGAAGTTTTGGGCACTGTTTTGTAATGCCAGAAAAGCTGTTGAAGTTAGTGAGGTTGCCAGACAGTGGAGGTCACACTGTGGTTCACTGCTGCAGGTCAGGAGTGTGGGTGCCTTCAGCATGTTCTCTGGGAGAAATCCTCCAGCCTTGCTCTTATACACAAAATGAAGCAGCTCTCCAGGTGTAGTCTTTCTGTATGGCACGGCCTTCAGGGAGCAGGAGAACACAGAACATGAAAACAAATCAAAGGAGCCCTTTCAGCCTCTTTTGTTTGCTAGTCAATTTTTGATCCTCATAAAACCTTTTCTTGAAAGAACCCAAGGAATCTGCTTGAACAACATCGCTGAGCAGTTTTGCCCGGATCCCCACAACCTTTTGTGTATAAACTGAGTTTTAGGTAATAGGTTATGTTCTGAAGCTATTCTATTCTCACCTATAAACTGGTCATACAGTATATAAGCCTTCAACTTCAGTGTCTAAAGTACTCTTCGGCAGAGCACCTAAGTTCACACTAACGCCCTGGGATCCTTGCCGGCGCCTGGGAATGAGAATGGACAGCTGGCGGCTGCCTTCAGACACAGCATCCAGAATTCCTGCCATTATGGTTACTGCAGAGAGAGACTTCCAGTGTGGAAATCCAGGTCGTCCACAGCAGTAGACGGACGGAGTCCAACCTGTGCTTATGCAGTCCCTCTCAGCCTGTCTCTCACTCACTGGCCTACGAGATGTTGAACCTAGAACTACAGTACTGTGTATGGAGCCCATTCTGCCCCAAATCAAACATCCCCACAGTTATTTGGGTTACTCTTCACAATTGAATGCACCGAATCAAACGTGGAGAAGGCCATATAAAACATTCCATACACTGCTGAAGATTAAGCTTGATGGAAGGCCATCCTTGAGTGATTTTATTTAAAGTTTACTGTAACATTCAGCCTTGACATTTTCACACAGCCCATAACATGCCTCAAATTAGGTCAGCTTGCTTTCTTTTTGCATATGTTTGGGTTTGTCATATTCATGTGTGTTTATTGTATCAATCAATGAAACAGTTAACAGTTGAGAAATTATTGTGACTCTAAAAGCAGACATTTCAGCTAAAACAACAATTTCAAGTATCCTTTTGCCTGAGCGTGAGAAACACATTTCAGCAATAACCCTGACAACAAGAAAATCCCTTCACCATTCGACAGACCCTTGTAATATTAAATGTGATGTCGAAATCCCAGAAGCGAAGGAGTTTGTTAGTCTTTCTGAAACTGTAAACTAATCTTTTTTGTCTCCTTTGTCCTAGATTAGTCATAGCACCAACATTATTTTAACTCTCAAAAACTCCAGCAAAGTACAAAGCGGTGTTCTTTTCTTCATGAAGGTCAGCGAGTGTGTGAATTAAGAGCAGGGACAACAGCTTTGGATAAAAATAATTTGTCCTTTTCCAGGGTGATGGGAGCTCCATGAATTTCTAAGAATTCTGGAGCATTGTGAATTCATAACACCCTCTATTTAAAAACGAAATTCCTGTTTTTTTTTAATTAACCAGAATTCATTCATACATTTCCTTGTGATATTCACTAGAACACTTCTACCACTGTTTACTGAGGGGAAAAAATAATACTTTTAAATAATACATATAAAACAGTGAAGCTGGACAAACTGGATGTATAATATTAATAATTAGCGTGGGGCTTGTTTCAGATAAAGGGTCCCAATGTTGTAATTCATAAACCTTCACAGTCATCTAACTAGCATTAAAAACAAAAAAAAAAGCATGAAAGCTTTCCCACTCCCCATGTACAATATGTTGATAGGTGCAACAGCCCTTTGTGATTCTTAAATAGAGCTGTTGAACATCAGTAAATATTGTTGCCTTCAGCCTTGCATGGCTTAATGGAAGAACTATGTCCTGAAATTCTCCAGAGGAAAAAACAAAGCGTCTTTGCATCCTCGCCAATCAGATAAATCATTTGGGGTCAGAGGATCAAAAAGGCTTTAAGCTTTCACATTTGCAAAGGTGAGCCTAAATTAGTTTGTCACTTAGAGTTTGAATGTGGGAGAGCTGAGATAGGCAGCGAAAAAGGACATACTGTAAGGTGTTCAAAGTGTCTCCAGAGACTGAGGTTTGCTATACTTAGAACACTGTCTTGACACTAAGCTTTAATGTATCTGTGCACGGAGAGTACTACAGAGCAACACAGAGCTCTGCAGTAGAGAAATTCAATGATCCAGCTCAATATTGAGTTTGGGAATATTGAGGATCGTTTTGCTTTTGTAGAATAAAAATGCTTTCCTTCTTAATCCCAAAATTATCAAGTGGTCATTTTTGCTCAGATTTTAAGATAGCATTGTCTGAGGACCACAGAGAACACTACATTTTACATTCAAACATTGATCCTATTCATTGTGTTTTAAATTCAGTTTCAGGTCCTATGCTATGTGCAGTTAAAAGCTTAAAGGGTTTTGCTTTTGTCTAGCAATCCAAACTGTTCAGGCTTCAGTGAGTGAGATTACAGTTAGCTGTTGTGAGCAAAAGCTATTACAACCTACAGGTGCAGCTTTGCAATTTTAGTAAGAGCTATTGAAAGAGTTGCTGGAGTGTTTTCAGTACTGCAGGAATTAGAAAAACAACTACAACACTATAATGGTGTTAGAGACAGAGAGCAACAACAGAGGAGTAGTGTATCAATAGCATACAGGTTCCATCCATCTGTTTTCAGAAAGCCCATTATTCTTAGTGAAGGCTACAGCATGTTTAGGGCACCAGGTGGGACTACACACTGTATAGGAGACTAGTTTGACACAGCAATAATTCTGAGTCACTGTCTAACCTATCCAGCATGGCTTTGAAATGTGAGAGCAAACTGGAGGACTGAAAATAAAATGTATTGGTGAAAATGTGCAAACTTCACATGAAAAGTCATCCCAGGATCAAACCCGGGACCCCAGACTTGTGACGCTATAGCACTAACTCCCATGTCAACCAGTTTTATTTTTCATGTAAATTAGATCAGCAAATTCCAGTCACAGTTCTTTTCTGTCCGAGCCCCCACTGCAAATGAAACCACAGGTTCAGTAAGGTAACAGCCCTACAGTGATTGTTGCAAGGTGTTCTGGAGGTTACCTATGCTCAAAGAAAGCTGTAACACACCATTTCCTTTGCAGAGCTTTGAGCCAAGTAGTTTCTTTGCCGAGGACAAACAGTCATGGCCCTGCCTGCCGTTTAGTTTATGACAAGCTCCCAAATAGCGGCCCTGCATGCACTTTTCTTTAATTCAAAAGCCAGCTGGGTCTGTAATGGCTGTTTAATGGGGCTCACCGCTAATGCAGATTCCATTATTCTGGGCAGGCTTAGTGTAGACAGAAAGAAAGAGGTGATTAATTTTTATTTTAGTGTGTGTTGGCTTCTCGAGGGCTAAATTAACCTTAAAAGGGTCTTTACGGGACTTTCTAGCATTCCTGGATGGTGCTAAACCACCAAACGCTTTCAGAAAGAAAGAGGTTAAAGGTGACTTTTAACCATCCCCAGGGTCACAGCCAAAGAAAATAATCTGAGCGCAAGGCAGCAGGGCCCTGTTGTACGGGGAGCAGGAGTGGGGAGTGGCGAAGCACTTGAAACGCTCCCTAGGGGTCCTGGAGTATGTGTGCTTTATTTTTGGAATCAGGGCGGGCGGTCCTGTGTTAGCTTTAATGGCTAAACCAGAAATTTTGTAGTGTTGTAATCCTGTGTAAAGTGGCTGTTCTGGAGAAGAAATTGAAATCAGTACGCAGCCAGGGCTCTCCGTGGGCGTGCGTACTGTCATGTCCTAGCTGACTTCTTAATTTGAGTACGTGTTTTTTCAGGCATGTTTGATATTCATGTAATACTAGCCTGGTTGTTTTACATTAACTTGTGAGTGGTGGATCATTTATTGACATGTTCTTGCTTTGCAAAGATTTTGGTTTCAGTAGTTCTGAGCAGTTTTCCTTGCACATCAATAGGATCTGCAGCTCCCTGATTCTGCACTATCATCTGTGATGTGTTTGGCCATAGTACATTGTCTTTGGTTGAGATGACAGCTCAGGCCAAAGGTTTGTTCTGTGGGATGTTGGCTCTCCCGTTTTCTTGCAGCCAGACATGTGACCTCGAATCAACCCCTCATCAGCCTTAATGACCCTTAGCTGCATTGTGCAGTTGCATTGCAGCGTGTGAGCACATGGAGCTCTGGGGAAAGCCAGGAACACAAAGCAAATATCTAAAGCTTCCAGCTCCTTGTTGGCAAGTAACTGCTCCGACTGTGGGAATCAAAAGAGAAAAGACTGAGAGAGGAGAGGAAAAAACAGAAATGAAATCGGAGTGACTTCTGCTGGAAGAGATTAAAATAAATTGAGTAATACCAAACTAATTAGGGTGGCAATAACTGACGCACAAGCTAATGAGGGGCAACTAAATCAAAGTGCATAACGAGACTCCAGCAGACAGATCCAGGAGACAGGGCTGCTCCTTTTTAGCAAATCAAAAGGTATTTCAACAGCACTTAAGTGGGGGATGCAGCAGAACAAACATATATGTCAAAATAACTATTTTTAAGTTGTATATGAGACGATTTAAAATCTAATAACATTTATATATGATATTTTTCTTGATTTGATGTCAGAACTTTGTAATCTGGTGAATCTACAGTATATTCACTGGTAATAACATGAGCTGGAAAGTTGCTTCCATCCTTCATACACAGTGCTTCAGATTTACCTCTCTGTATACATTGCACGACAATAAAGTGCACATAATTTAAGAAATACAGACATTCAGGAAATGAAGTGAAAAGCAAATACAATTCAGAACGGAGACAGGGTAGCCTTGACGTAATGTTCCTTCTGCAGTGTAACAGCTGATCTAACCCTGCTTTTCTCTCTTTGTGTTCCTCAGATCCGAGTGGACGGTCCTCCACATGGCGGGGTGCAGTACGAGACCGTGTCCGTGATCAAGGATGGGAGCCCCATCCTGCGGGACATGGCCTTCTCAATGGACCGGAATTACCTTTACGTCATGTCAGAGAGGCAGGTGAGTGAAGACAGCGTTGCAGGGCCCTAACAGCTCAGACACACACTTATCCAGAAGCCTGTCTTGTGAAAAAAACATCAATAAACATTGTGAAATTTGCCCGTTTTTGCACACGGCTTCAAGGTCCAAGGCACATGAGTTCTTTATGTGAGTAGCAAGGAGACAGGGTGTCTTCTTTTTAACAAGGTCACGAGGTATTTCAGCTCCACTCCAGCTATTGCTGTATTTCTATTTGCTCTGTCTGGTGCTTAGTTTAATGTCTCATAGGAATATCACGGAGCACATTCGTTGGGCATAATACAGAAATGAAGGAAAAGAAGCAAAAGTCTGTTCAAGGGAGGTTGCCTCTCTCTGTGTTGCTTATCTCATTTTGTGAGATGTCAAGTGGCAGAAAGGAAAGGGGAGACTGGGTCGGAGAGAAGACAGTAGAGGCCATGATGAGAAAATGAGAAAGATGTGGGAGAAAGAGGTAAATTATTAACAGTGGAGAAAGAAAGGTGGAAAGTGAGAAGGGATGGAGAAGGATGGTTTGAAGATGGGTGAACAGTAAAGGAGAAGGGTGGGTTTCTGCGGACACGGTGCAGTATGAGTGACACCGACAGACACTCCTGTCTGGCTGCAGCTGAGAGAGTCCTGAAAGCGAAGCAGATTAATTGCAGCGCGTGGGCTTTGTCACATTCAAATTAAACAACGGTGAGGAGTAGGCAGGAGACAGGGAGACCCCATTCTGAAAGTTGTCTGGAAAAGTGATAAATGAGGGTCTTTATTTCCAACGCCCGGAGGCATCTACCCTCCATGCTGTCGGGGTCACAGGGGCCAACAGTGGAGAGATTTGGGGTTTTAGTCAAGGAGGGGAGACTGCGATTTATTCATAACACCATGTAGTGCCCAGATGAATAAGTACAGTACGCCTCTCTCTGGTGAAGTACTGCAAAGCGAGGTCTCTGATCATTGTATTTATTTCACTTTTAGAGCAAAAATATAAAAATTGCACTTCCAGGCCCTAACTGCCATTTGATGTCTTTATTTGTGCTATTCTTTTTTTGACATAGGCAGAGGTCAGTTGATTTTGACAGCATTTTGTTTCGCTGTGCTTGTTCAATTCTAATGCTCTGGCAAGGAGTGACGGTACCAACCAGCAAGGGCTAATTGAGGTCCCTGCAAGTGTGTATACAAAGTTAAATTCTCAGCAACATGGCCTTGGTGCGAAGCTGTGCATCCTCGCAGTGAGATTTGAAGCTGTCTAGCACAGAGACAAGACAAGTCAAGGTCCTATACAGTCCAGGCCTGTTCATATGTCATTGCTTTCAGACATCCTTAACAGAGCTCTGCATCTGGACTTTTGATAGCATGCATTCAGAGCGTATACTGGTTTATATTGTATGTTTATGTTGCATTGAGGCTCAGAAAGTATTGATTAGTACAGTGGGGCTCAAAATGCCACCAGAGCACATATCATTCTACACAGCTCAGAGTGTGTGCTTTCAAAGATATTCTCCGTGGAGAATGCATTCGTTTTTCTGTATTACCAAAGGTTTACTTATTTATACATGTTTTTGCCGATGTAGATGAATCAAGTTGTGGCATGTAGTTTAAGCAGTGTCTTCCATCAAAGAGCAAATTCCTTTATTTAAATGCAAGTTTGCTTTACTTACAAGCATGCCTGCAGTCTCATCAGAAGATAAAATAACGGCAAAGCAGAAGAGCTTTAATTATCATTAATCCATTAATCCAGTATCTTTTGTAGAGCTAACTAAACCATTTTGGTTCCTTTCTCTTTCCACGCGACCCACAATATATACTGGTAACAATACAGACACATTCACTGTTATTAACATTAATATTTATAAGTGCCGTCTTATGCATTTGCCTCCAGGCACTTCACAAATCTTGTGGACTGCGATAAACACATCGTATCTCAATCTAATCATTACCGAGCGTGTTAGACAAGGCTCTAGCGCAGCGCAACATCGCTATATAATGGGATTAGAATTCAGTACATCTGAAATCATGCCGTCACTCTTTCATTTCTGCAAAGCTTTTTAACTGCGGTCTAATAGAAGGAAAGGGAACATATTAAAGAAACCAACTTTCATCTTCTTTACACCTTCAAATAGGTGTGTTTGTGCCCTGTGCTGGGGCATAGTCCCTGCCAGGGCATAGTTCCAATCTGTGCCTTGTGCTTCCCAAATAGACTCAGGGTCTGCAGCTTTTAACAGGAGTTAATGTCTTTCAGACAATGGATGGATGCCTACAAATAGGATCTTAAAGCTTCAAAGTGTCTTGACAGGTCAGGGCTAGACTGTCCACCTATATGTTATGACAACAGTACTAAATCTATATTGATTTTAAAATTATAAGTAGGAAAAAGTCAATTTTATTAGTTGGGGGAAAGGAGGACATTGTAGAACTCTAGCGCTAGTGCAGCAGCGTCATATAATTCGCATCAAAAGATATTTTGCAGGCACTGAGGAAAATTAATTATCCATTTAAAGCGTTGCACAATGAAGCCTCTTGTTGTACAGTGCATCTGTTCAATCCGTAAGAATCTATATCCAGCATCAAATCCTGTTTTTATAGCCAATAGTATAATCCTGCCGTTACTCAAGTCTCTTTTGCACTTTATGAGATGAAATTGGGGTGATTTATTTGGGTTTGAAATTTCATCTTTATAAGGACTGCATCTCGAAACGAACATGGTGCTAAGCATCTGACTCCCTCCCTGTCAAGTGAGAGGCCGACTCACTGAGAAAGAGGAGAGAATTTGAAGCGGTCTCAAACATTTTAATTGGGATGTTACCCCACCCTCCAGACTTGCTAATAATAATTTTGCTTTCTTTCCTCCCAAACCCACCTCAAATTTCAATTAACATGCTCTTGAATTAAAAACGAAGGGCTTCATTAAGGCAGATTGCATGGATCCCTTCATTTGCAGGCAGGGCTGTGGATGTGAGTTTAGGAGACGAACAAAGGGAAAATCACGGCGAATTAAGAAAACAGCAAGGACAGATTTGGCTTCAATTGTGCCTCCTCTGAATAACAATGAAGCTCTCTTGCAGTAAATCACTTACAGAACGCGCACGGTTAGTACAAAGGGGAAACGTGGAGGAGAAATTGTTGTATTTGAAGAACAGTAAACCTGCTTCAGGAAGGAATCTTCTAAACTCTAAACTGCAAAAGACGTTAGTGGATGCCTAATGACTTGGAGTGATGTGACACTTTCATAGTCTTCACAGGCACACACAGGGGAATAAGCAAAACAGACACACGCATATCGCTTACACACACACAAACACACATTGAGACACCCACGCAAGCCAGGAACTCTCACTCACTTACACACAAGCCCACACATTTGTATTCCTCTCCCTTTGTGAGGCCTTCCTGTTGACTCTGATTATTTATTTACTATTCTGTGCTCCACAGACATAAAACTTCACATAAGGTGAAAACCGGTTCAAAGAATATTTTGGCACTCCTAAATATAAAAAGTGATGGCAAGTGTTTCCATGTTGTCTCTTTGTAAGGAGATGCTATCATTGTGAAGACACTTTGTCAGATTTTGTCCTTACATTTATAGTAATATATGTGTTTGTATTCCTGTCTCTGATGGGGCTTCCTATTGACTCTCATTATATTTTTATTTGCTATTCCATATTCAACCAAAATGAAACCTGTGATGGGATCTGGAATACATTTTGTATACTTTTAGATTTAAAAGACAGTGCTGTCTGGTTGAGGGTGGCATGGTGGAGCAGTGGTTAGCATTGCTGCCTTGCAGCCCCTGGGGCCCTGGGTTTGATTCTAGATCCGGGGTGCTATAGAATCTGAATGGAGTTTGTATGTTCTCCTTGTACTTGTGTGGATTTGCTCCATGTGTTCTGGTTTCCTCCCACAGTCCAAAGACATACTGCTTGGTTAATTGGCTTCTGGGAAAATTGGCCCTGGTTATATTGTCTGCCCTGCAATGGGCTGGTGTCTCCTCCATGGTGTATCCTGCCTTTGCTTGCCGAGATACAGTAGGCTCTGGTTTCCACATGACACTGTATTGGATAAAGAGGTAAGAAAATAGAAACATGACAATCTGGTTGATAAATAAAAGCCATTTGCATTGCAGGTGCATCCTTACTACCTTTGTTTGTCAGGAGGAGCTGTCTTTGTGGATATATTTCTTCCATTATTATTCCCACATTGATAGAAATAATAGAGCACAAACAATCCCACGACACTCACACAGTCATACACACAGAAACAGAACCTGGATTTAAGAACTTCATACCATCGCTCGTTAAAATGCATTTCTAAAAACAGGATTTGTTGAGCTCAGAATGCTTTTTACTCGCCACAAATGAAATTTTGTATTTAATTTTTTCCACACATAGGCTGTGATTTTCATCTCTTCAGCTCCTCTTGGCGCTTTTTGCTTCAGTGTGTCTTAAGCATTTATTTTCCTGCGTGGATTCCTCAGTGCTTCTTTTGAAGGGCTCTGGCTTTGATGAAAGGTGCTATATATTTGCAGTGTGTCCCTGTCGCCTGCGGAGCCTAGGGATCAGGAAGAGAGGCTGAGGAAGGTGTGAGGATTCATTGTGGGAGTCTGGGAGTGGAGTTCACAGTGCTGCCTCAAGCACACAGTTCTTGACAAACATTTCATCAGCTCCTTTTCACACTGCAGGTAGTTGAAATGAATATGAATCTGTCAGGAACTAAAGTCAACATCAGAAAGATGCTGAGTAGTTTATACCCACATGAGGGAAGAACACATTTAACACTATCAATAGTCTGTGTCATGAAGAATTACATGTAAATAAAGATCTACTCCTACAGATTTAGAAAACATGCATGGAGATTAGAACTTATTTGTCACTTAGGTTAAAATGTCCTGGAGGGACAAGTATAGTAAAATAGGATGAAATCCTAGAGATGGCTTTGCCTGACGTTTGAAGCTCAAAGTGTAAAATTAACCTTCATGATCACAGGTCTCCACATATCTGTTTCTGGCC